CACCATTTATTGAAGAGACTTTCCTTTCTCCATTGTATGTTCTTGGCTCCTTTTCGAAAATTAGCTGTCGTAAATGTGGGTGGGTTTATTTCTGGGCCCTTGGTTCTGTTCCATTGAACTGTGCATCTCTTTTTCTGCTGATACCATGCTGTTTTGTTTACTATAGTGTTGTAGTATACTTTGAAATCAGGGAATGTGATGCTTCCCCCTTTGTTCTTTTTTCTCAGGATTGCTTTGGCTATTTGGAGTCTTTTGTTGTTCCATATAAATTTTAGGATTCTTTGTTTTCTTTCTGTGAAAAATGTCATTGGGTTTCTGATAAGGATTGCATTGAATCTACATGGACATAAGATGTCCATAGGTAATATGGAAATTTTAACTATGTTATTTTTCCAATCCATGAGCATGGAATATCTTTCTATTTCTTTGTGTCTTCTTCAATTTCTTGCAATAATATCTTATAGTTTTCAGCCTACACATCTTTCACCTCTTTGGTTAAATTTATTCCTAGGTATTTTGTTCTTTTTGTTGTGATTGTAAATGGATTGTGTTCTTGATTTCTCTTTCTGCTAGTTCGTTATTAGTGTATAGAAATGCAACTGATTTTTTATGTTGATTTTTTACTCTGCCACTTTACTGTATTTGTTTATTTTTTCTAGTAGTTTTTTGGTGGATTCTTTAGGATTTTCTACATATAAAATCAGGCCCCCTCAAATAGTGACAGTTTTACTTCTTCCTTTCCAATTTGGATCACCTTTATTTCTTTTTTTTACCTAATTGCTCTAGCTAGGACTTCCAATTCTTGAGTGCTTAGGGCTTTCTGAAATCTTTACTGATCATGCACACAGCCCCTCTGCATCTATGTGGCCTTCTAGAGTCCTAGAAATATGTAAGAGCTTTTCTAATCCCCAATGGATATCTCATTCCTTAGCTTTTCCTTTCATGTTTTTGGGTAGTCTATTGTTTGCCACAACTGTTGTCCATCACCTTAAGCAGCTATGACATTAAGCACTTACCTTTAAATATTTTTGATAAATCCCCATGGGGAGAAGCTTTTAGATTCTCTAGGCTTTGAAAGAAAGCTCTAGCTCCTTTCCACTCCCTACATGACTGGCAATGTGGGCTGTTATTTTTCAAGGCTCCTGCTAAGTTGGGGAGAGGGGGATGGGTCTAGGGCAAGTTAAAATACCACACAGCTCACTGCTGTTACTGAGATTCAGCTCTTTTTCTTAAATAAATGCTCTCTAGGTTGCTGTAAGCCTTTTTGGTTAATTTCCAGAGTTCTGAAAAAGTTTATTCTGACAGTTTTTGCCTGATTTTTCATTATTTTAATTCAGGAGTAAATTTTTGGAGGCCCTTAACTTTGCCATTTTTGCTGATGTCATCCATCATGACATACTAAATAGTTCAGTATGCACGTCTATGAAAATAACATTTTCTTCCATAACCAGAGTACCATTATATGACACCTAAGTAAAGTACCATTTATTTCCTAATATCATTTAATACCAAATCCTTAGTCAAATTACCCCCAACTGTACCAAAAATATCTTTTATAATTTGCTTATTCAAACCAGGATCTATTCAAGAACTATACATTTCATCCTGGTTATTCTAATATCTTAGTCTCATTCATTATTTAAAATTGTTTATTATGACAATTTTCAGACATACATAAATGTAGAAAGATAGTACACTAACACCCATATTCTCAATGTCTAGATCCTATCATTGTAATACTTTGCTGTATTTGCTTCATCCATTTATCTATATCTGTCTATCTATAGTTTTTGTTGAGCCACTTCAAAGTAATGTGCAGCTGTCATAACATTTATATTTTACCCCTTAATACTTCTGTATCTCCTAAGAATAAGGACAACCTGCTATGCAAACACATACCTTTATTATACTTAACACTTAATAATTCCCTAAGATCTTCTAATACCCAGTCCATTACCAGATTTTCTCAACTGTCCCCCCAAAATGTCTTTTATAGTGTTTTTTTCCAAAACCCAGGTCCAATCGAGGAGGGTTTTTTTTTTTCAGCTTAAAACAACAACTTGATCATTTATTATGAAGTGAGGAATTTGGGAAGGGCACAGTGAAGACAGCTTATCTCTACTCCATGATATCTGGGGCCTCAGCTGGGAAAATGTGAAGGCTGGGGTTCGCTTGATGGCCAAGAGTTTGAATAATTTGACGTCTCATTAACTCACATGCCTGGTGCCCGGGCTGGGAGGACTAAAAGATTAGAAGTGCCAAGCAGAGTGCTAACATGTGGCCTTTCTACGTGACTAGCTTCCTCACTGTCTGGTGGCCTCAAAGAAATCAAACTTCTTACATAGCTGCTCAGGGCTCTCTAAGTGTAAGTGTTCCCGTAAGCAATGTGGAAACTGAAATTGCCTTTTCTGACCTAGCCTCAGAAGTCATGCAGTGTCACTTCCACCACATTCTATAGGCTGCAGATGAGCCTGTTCAGATTCAATGTGAGGGAACATAGACCCCACCTATCAAAAGGAAAAGTGTCAAAGAATTTAGGACCACCACGCATACAAAACTATAGAGGAAATATGAAATATATCTAAGAGTCCATGACCAAAAATTGTGCATTAACATTTTTGCTAGATTTACTTCCGATCATTTTTTAAACAAATATCACCTTTAAAGAAAGGACTTCAGCATCCTGAATTGTCTGTTCTAGAATCTGCATACTGCTTATACGGAAAGTCTCCTTTATAATAATAACAATAGCTAACCAACCAAGGAATCTTTAAATCTAGATCAGTATCACCACCACCTCTTTTTTTTCTGTGACATTGACTTTTTTCTGTTATTGAAAATAGAGAGAATAGGGCAATGAATTCCCATACACACACCACTGAGAATCAACATTTACCAAGATTTTGTCATATTTGTTTCGTCTGTGACTATCTTCTTTTCAAAATTGTCTGTGCTTTAAAGCAAATTCCAGATATTGCATCACTCCTTCCACATGTACTTCAGTATGCATCTCTAAAAATTATGGGCATTTTCTCACATAACCACAATCTTGTTATAACAAAATTAGTAATAATTTGATAATTGCTTGATGTTATCTAATACTAAGTCCATAATCAAATTTCCTCAATTGTCTAACCAAAAAAAGGTATTTTTGCAGTGGATTTGTTTAAATCAGAATCTAAACAGGGTCCATATGGCATTAGGCTGTCATGCCTTTTGAGTGTCTCTTAATCTGAAGGAGTGCTCCCTTTTTTGGTTTTTGCTATTGATTTGTTGTAAAAACTAGTATAATTGTCCTGTAGCAATCTTACCTTTATAGATTTGTTTGTTTGCTTCCTTGTGACATTGTTTTCTTTTTATTTTTTATTCATGTCATAATATAACATTGTGAACTTTTAGTTGTACATTATTGTTTGTTAGTCACCATATAGATGAGTCCGTTCACCCCTTGTGCCCACTCCCCAACCCCGCTTTCCCCTGGTAACCACCAAACTGTTCTCTGTCCATGTGTTAGTTTATCTTCCACATATGAGTGAAATCATGCAGTGTTTGTGACATTGTCTTTTTAATGAAACCAGGCTAGTTATCTTGTAGAATGTCTGATTGTTTTCTCACGGTGTCATTTAACTTGTTCTTTTATCTCTGTGTTTCCTAAAAACTGGAAGTAATATGAACCACTTACTTGATTTTACATCTTTGGCAAAACTACTTCCCAAGTGACGCTGTGAATTTCCTATTGCGTTGGATCAGGAGGCGCATGAAGTCGGCTGTCTCATTGTTAGTGACATAAGGTTAATACTCAGTTAAGGGGGTGATCTCCTGATCTCACCATTGTAAAGTTAATTTTTTCTTCTTGAGACTAGCAAGTAATCTGTGAGGTAATACTTTGGTACTGTGTGAATATCCAATTCCCTGGAATCAGTTGTTTCATTAGGGCTTGCAGATCTGTGATTTTCTACTTCTGTCATTCCTTCTACATTTATTAGCTGGCATTCTTCTGTAAAGCAGAGCTTTCCCTCATCATCCAGGACTGTTTGGTTATCCTGAAATACACTTCCTATGTAAAATGTGGGATGAGTAACTATTGGTTTTTTTTGTGAGGAAGATCAGCCCTGAGCTAACATCCATGCCAATCCTCCTCTTTTTGCTGAGGAAGACTGGCCCTGAGCTAAAACGCGTGCCTATCTTCCTCCACTTTATGTGGGATGCCGCCACAGCATGGCCTGACAAGCGGTGCGTCGGTGCGTGCCTGGGATCTGAACCTGGGCCCCCAGCAGCGGAGCATGCGCACTTAACCGCTATACCATGGGGCCGGCCCCAGTAACTATTTTTTGATTCAAGATTGTTAAGGCATTATAAAAGGGTTATACAAGAAGACGATCTTCTTCAGGAGCTCATAGCCTGGTTGGTAGACAGAATAATACACATCAACATTAGGGAATGAGACAAGATGGTATGTGTTATGTATCAAGTGACTTGTACATATCATAAGTTCAGGAGAGGGAGAGGTCAATGTGAGCCAGAGAGGTCCCAGAGGTTTCGCATAGAAGGTTGATTTCAGCTTACTTTTGAATGATGGACAGGTTTTAAAGAGATGGACAAAAGGGAAGAAGGTACTCCAGGCAGTGTAGGTGGTGAGGATGAAGGGACAGGGAGAGAAGATGAGCTGCACATATTCTGGGGGTGTAATAAGGAAGCCATTCTGTCTGGATAAGCTGAGAATATGGGTGTGGAAATAAGGCTGGGAGGTAGGTAGGCCAAGAGCAGAACATGGACAACCTTAAATGCCAATTCAGAGAAGTTAACTTTTATCTTTTAATCAGTGTGTGTTTTGTGTACTTTGGACATTTGTGAATTAGCTTTTTACCTGACAGGAAGCAAAATCTGGCTTTGTGAAAAAGCTAGAAGCGGGAAGACCAATGAGACCACCTTTGAGGGGGCTCAGAGGTAGGGAATATGTTTGGCATTCAGATAATGTCTTCATCCTGTTTCCTCTGCAGCCCGTGTGACCCCAACTCTACCAAAGCAGGACCGTCCTGTGCGTGAGGGGACCCGGGTAGCTTCCATTGAGACTGGCTTGGCAGCAGCAGCTGCAAAGCTGGCCCAGCAGGTAGGTGATGACACCTAGGCAATGGCTCTGCTACTGATCCCAGTTTGGCTTAGAGCCTCAAAACTCAGATCTTCAGGCTAATAGAAGCCAACTGTTGTTTCACTGGGGAGTGATCTTTATCAATGGCAGTATCCCAGCCCTCTCCCTATATCCTTCACATCCCAACTCAGTGACAAGCTACTTCCCAGGTCACACAGTTGACATGATTTAGGGTGAAAGAAAATAGGGGGCCAGAGAAAAGCCCTTGCTGATATCACTTGCCTTTCTGGGTGTATACAAACCTCTCAGATGGGAAGGACCAGGTCTGTCCTTCGGTGAGAGCATTTGCCTTCAGATGAAGCCCTGAAGAGGTGACTCAGTTGAGTACACTCAATTTCTCAGCCACCCACCAGTATCAGAATTTGGTTTTTTGGGGAGAGGCTTTTCTTATCCTCTATACTAAATACTATTGCCTTGATCTTCACCCCCTGCTTCCCAAGAAAACTTCACTACTAATTTTTGTCCTAAAGGGTCACTTCACTAGAATCAAGTTGACCTAGCATGTTACAGTTTGCAAAATTCTTTAATGTGTGTAATGTGGTTAGCAACCCTGGGAGCACTTGGAGGTGAATCTTCTATTTCTTTCCTTATCAACATCCCCTTAGCTGTTTATGCCACATCCTATAGCTTAGAGCGTTTATTGAGTATCTGCTTTATGTTAGGTACTTCAATGTACAATGTCTCATGTAATCTGCCCAATAGCCCTGTTCAATGGGTGATATTTTATCATTTTACAGGTCAAGAAAATGAGGCTCTCTTTAAGTGACTAGTCCAGGATAATACAGCCAGTAAATGGAAGAGACAAGATTTAAACTCATATCATCTAACTTTGAATTTCATATTATTTGCTATTAAATAAAACGAAATAGTTAAATGTTTATATAATTCAGTAATTACATCCTATTTAAATAAAATTTAATAGAATGATGTTTTTAATATTTGATGTTCTATGGAGCTCTGGTGTTGCTTAGAAATGTCTCAGAGGCTATTGTTGGAAGCCAGTAGAGACCAAGCAGGCCAGGTGGCCCTTTGACCAGAACTTCTCCCTGTTATATATATCCTAGTGCCATGTAAGATGTAATTTGAAGAAAAAGGATTCTACTGCTTTAAATAAACAGAAAAATTAATTGAAGTTGTGAAAACTACTCTTAGTGCCTTCTAAGGAGCTCACTTCTGTTTGGGTTGATCAGGGATGACCTCAAAGAAGAGGTTTTGAAATTGGGGAGGGGTTTTGCAGGCTAAGCTTTTAGAGGGGACAGGGAGATATTCCAGGAGAGGGCAACTCCTTGGTACAGCCCACAAGGCACTCTTGATTTAGTCTCTGATCACCTCTCCTCCCTGACCTCCTGTCAGCCCCTAATGCATGCCCTTTACACCCGCCATATTATTGCGCTATGGTACTTGTAGTTCACTCAGTGTATCAGACTGTCTCGTGCCTCTGTGCCTTTGTACAAGCTGTTCTGTCTGCCCATTGGGAATCAGGCCCGCTCTGATGCCTTACCTAACACCCCTTCACACCATTTACCACCAGTTTATTTCAGTGGCCTCCTGTGCTTCCATGGCATTCTCTCATGGTACTTATAATCATAAGTGTACTTCTCTGTGTCCCTTATTAAGCTATAAGTGCCTCAAAGGTGGGGCTATATCTAATTTAACTTTGTATCTCCACTATGCTAAGTATGTGTTTTGTCAGTGTTGGGTGTGTGAATGAATATATGAATGAGCAAATCTTTCTGGATTGGAGGCTTCATGTTGGGATGAGATAAATAGAGGTTAAAAAATGGATTCTGGAGCCAGCCTGCCTGAGTTCGAATCCTCACTCTACCACTTGAGTAAGTTACTTAATTTCTCTGTGCCTCGGTTTCCTCATAGACTTTGAGGATGAGATGAGGTAATATATGTAAAAGCTCTGAGAATGACACTTGCCACAGAGTAAGTACTATAAACATGTTAGCTTTTCATCATTATCATTTTGAGTTGGCTAAGTGTAAGTGGCCAGACTGTGGAAGACCATGAATGTCAGGCCAGGGAGTTTGCACTTGGGTGGGGACCTGCTAACAGCTTTTTGAGCAAGGGAATTGGCAAGGTGAAAGTGGCCCTGTCATAAGACAGTCTTCTGTGGAGGAATCTGGATGAATTATATGAGAAGGAGATTGGCAACAAAGGTAGAAAAATTTAGGCCATATGATCTAGGTGTGAAGAGAGAATTTCTAGATTTGGATGAGAGAAATGGGGACAGAAATGCAGTTTCTGGTATGGGTGGAATAGCAGTGTGGCTGAGAAAAGAGATTCTGAAGCCAGATGGCTTGTCTGAATCCCAGCTTGGCCACTTATTGGTCCTGTAACCTTGGGAAAACGACTTAACCACTCTGTGCCACAGTTTCTTCTCCTAAAAATGGGATTATAATTCTTACATCTCATACTTCTTATGAGTATTAAATGAGTTCAATTATAGAACAGTGCCTGGCATGTATTACTAATATTATTATTCTTGTCCCCCAGAAATTCCTATGGTAGCCACAGCCTGTCAGATCCTCCGAAGTCAGGAGTAGGCCCGTGTTGCCAAGGGAAGGCAAAGAAATGTAATCACTGAGTTGGTCTGTGTGGCTGTGTAGTATTTCAGAAGGTGAAGTCTTTCACATGCTCTCAGCACCACCTTTCCAGGTTCTCAGGGCTCCAGGTGCCCACTATACAGGTACCCACTACACAGTGGATAGTAGATTCACAGAGCAATGGATGGATGGAAATCCAAGATACTGGGAGAAGTGACACACTCTTTATTCATTCCTTCCATCCAAAATTGAGGCTTTAAGACCCAGTGACCTGGAGGATTGTCAAGTCCTCTATTAAAAGAAAAAGACCAGCATGAGAAAGAGAAACCACTGTAAGAGATGAAGATAGAATAATAGTTTACCACTTGTTGAGTACCAACTATGTGCTATGTGTTTTTACACCATTATTTAATCTTTCCAACAACCCTGAAAAACAGATAATATTTTGCCCATTTTACAGATGAAGCAATTGAGATTCAGAAAGGTTAGTAACTTAACCAAGGTTATCCTACCTAGGGAACACAAGCCTAGATTTGAACTCAAGTTTATCTCATTCCAAAGCTTCTACTCTTTCACTCTCAGATGTCCCATTTTGAGAAGTTTGCAGGGTGGGTGTTCAGATAGATCTGGTTGAATCCTGGACCCAACAATTCCTCAACTGTGAGGCTTTGGGCTCAAGTTACTTAATATCCCTGCACCTCAGTTTTCTGATCTGTAAACAGAAGGATTTTCCTTCTCAGGCTGCCCTGAGGATTAAATGAGATAAAGTATATAAAGTGCCTCAGCTGCTGGCATAAATTTAGCTATTATTATTAGAAGTGTCCATGGTCCACCTCATAAGTGGCAGTGCTAGGACCAAAACCCAAGTCTCTGAACTCATTTATCCTTCTGTTGCCACTGTACTGATTAGTGGCAGTGATAACTTAAGGATGGATGGTACCAAAGAGGTGACTTCAGGTACTGAAAGGCCTGTATTGTGTGTACATACATCCAGGCTAGACTTGGGGTCGGGGCGGGTTGCAGAATCACATTGATCATCGTCTAGTTTCCTATCTGGGAAATTCTCTTTTCTCTGCTCCTGAATTCTCCCCTCCCACTTGGCTTGTGTTTCAGGAGCTGCAGAAGGCCCAAAAGAAGAAATATATCAAGAAGAAGGCTTTGTTGAAGGAGGTAGAACAGCCTCGCCCTCAAGAGTCCAATCTCAGCATGGCAGCACCAGCCTCAACACTGGGCACTACACCCCAGCTTCTGGCCTCCTCCTCCCCCCTGCCTCCTCCTGAGCCTAAACAAGAGACCCTCTCAGGAAGTCTTGCTGACCACGAGTATACTGCTCGTCCCAACGCCTTTGGCATGGCCCAGGCAAACCGCAGCACCACACCCATGGCCCCTGGTGTCTTCTTGACCCAGCGGCGCCCTTCACTTGGCTCCCAGAGCAATCAAGCAGGGCAAGGTACAACTGCCATATGGTTGTAAAACTGAGAAGGATCTTAGGGCCACTCGCTCTAAACTTGAAGCACTCTGGTAGATAAGAACACCTGGGAGGGATAGTGATGGCCAACCTAAGGTGCTTGGACTTAATCTCATAGGCCATGAAGAGACATTAACTGGTGTTAAGTAGAGACAAGCTCAGATGTGGGTTTAGAAAGATCCTTCTGCTGGCCAGAGTGGAGGGTATGCTGAAGGTGGGAAGTCTAGGGAGGAGGAGCATACACAGGCCCAGGCTACAGTGAAGAGAGGCTGGGGGTCTAGCAGAGGGAGTGGAGAGGGAGGGGATAAATTATCAAAAATGGAGGAGGTCACATGGAACATAGGAGGTGATTTGATGTGGGAAGAGAGGAAGAGGCAAGAGGGGAGGACTCAAGTCCTTTTCCTCTCGTTGGCCCTCAAAGCCCAGTCCCTAGAGTATACTGCTCAAGGGTGGTGAGGTTGGTGTGGCACTGGGGTGATGAGGTTGGGGTTTTCTAATGAAACAAGGCCCTGAGGATGACAACTTCAGGGGCACTGAGCTGTAATCACTAACCAAGCACTTTTCCAGTCCTGGTGGGCAGGATAAGAGGACAGGGAAGCACAATCACTTCCCTGCAGAATTTAGGAAGGAAAATGATTGAGACCAAAGAAATCAATGGGAAAAAGAAACCAGACAGACTAACCAGGGAGTTTGTAGCTGCTGCTGGAGGTCACAGGAGGAAGAGCCAAGGCATGTGGTGTTGGATGGAAGTAGTTAAGGAGGGCTTCTTGCCTAAGATGGGCCTGGAGCCAGGCATAAGGAGGGGGAGACTTTGCAGGTAGAGGAAAGAGGAGGGAGGTGGCCCAAGGACAGTTGGTGCTGGAGTTGCTGCTAGAGCCCTTGCCATAGCTTTTGCTTACCTCTCTCTTTCCCCACAGGAAAGCGTCCTAAAAAGGGCCTGGCCACAGCAAAGCAGAGACTCGGCCGTATCCTGAAAATCCACAGAAATGGCAAACTACTTCTGTGAGCCCCCTTGTGTCCAGCCCTTTACCCCTTTACCCCCAACTCTCGGGGCGCTCCTGGATCCTATCGGCCCCAGACAAGGTGCTGAGGCGCATTGTCCTGCTTTCTTGGAACTGACCAAAGGCACGGACTCCCCCACGGGCCCCTTCACCAACTCCCCCAACTCCCTTCCCCAATTCCACTAGAGCATCCTGCCTTCCTTCTCCATACCTCTGAGTAGCAGGTAAATGGGAGAGGTTTCAAGCTGACTAAAACCCTCTTTTCTGCTGCTCCAACCCATTCCTCTTTCACTGGCCTTGTCTGCCCTTTACTCTCATCCCTACCTAGAGCTGGAAAGGCAGGATGAGGAGAGGCGTGAGAAGAACCTGGCCCCCTTGGTACTTCCCTGATCATGAAGCAGGAGGCCCATGGCTCAACACTTTCTGTAGTTCCAGCCCTGTCTCCAGAAGCCTTCCCACGTCTGCCCATTCTTCCTTCCCCTTCCTCCCCCCAGCCCAGTGGACGTGTCCCACTCCAGACTCGTTTCTGGGAGAAGGGTCTGGCCTTTGCCCCCTCTTGCCAAATGCTTCATGGAAATAAAGAGGAGGGCCCAGAGTCTCCTTACTGCCCCACTGTGGGCCATTTCCAGAGATGGCCTAGAAAGGCCATGGGCTGATTTCACTCATCCTTGGGAAGAAGAGAGATTCCTGTCACTTCTCAAGGTGGGGAGAGGACCGACGCCCAAGCCTTTGACCATGATTTTGTAGCCCACTGGAGGAAGCTACTTTTGGGTGGCTACAGATGAGGCCCCCTGTCCCAGGGTGAGCTCCAGGGATTTGCCCGGATTTTGAAGTCCTGCAGAACATTATCCACGTGGCTATGGCTGGGCCCCAGCAGGTGAAAAACCATCTCCCAGAAGCCTGAAAGCACCTGCCACTAAAGGAGATAACCCTGGCCCTACGGCCTGCTTCCTTCACCTGTACCACAGAGCACAGCCTGGACCTTCCGGAGAGGATGTGGCAGGACAGCTCACCCCTGGGTTCTCCATCAGGAGCCTCCCTGCTTCTTTCCTGACCTGAGGTCTTGGCCTGAAGAAGACCTCAGAACTCACATCTTCACTCCTGGGCCTTTGCATTCCCAGACATCAGGTCATTGTTCAAGCAGAGTGCAGATGGGACACTTGGGAGCCTGAGCCTAGGAGAGGAGACTCCCATCTGTAAAGGAGAGATCATCTGATCTCCCCTCCCTGTCTTCTATGGATGTCTCTATCATCCAGACAGTGCCCACCCCATTCCCTCCCCCTTCCCTAGCTCCCTCCACCTCTGCCTTTCTTGCCTCCTTGGCAACCTGGACTGGATGGAGAATGCCCCCCTCCTTCCATTTTGGCACTGCCCGAGTGGAGTGCATCCTTGCCCTCTACCCCCTAACCCCAGCCTGACCCCAGTTTGCCCAGTGCTTCTGGGGAACTTAACAGCTACCATGCAGGCCACAGGGAATATGTGAGGCTTCCCTTGTCGTCTTTGTGTCTCCAGATTGTCTTTCTTTTCTCCACAGCCCCACATCTACTCTCCTTCCTTGGAATCAGGGGTCCCTTAGCCCCATTTGCTTTTTCTATCTTGGGGATTCCAGGGGCCAAGCAGTTCTCTATCTAGTCACACCAAAGGCAAAAAGCCTGGCTACCTCCCCCTAGCATGTGAGGTCCCCACTCCCCTCTCCTCTGTTCCACCCAGCTTTGCTTTTCTTCGGGATTTCAAGGCAGCAGAGGGTAGAGAGGGGAGGGAATGGGGGACAGCCTGTGTCCCTGTGTTGGCAACTGCCTGACTAGGCCCTGACTGCTGTAACCAAGACCAGGACCCCAGCCCTTCTGCCCATTAACACCCCACCCCCTTGATCTTTCAAAGGCAGCTAACTGCTAGCAAATCTCCCTGGTTCCGGGCCTCTTTCCCCTCTGCTTCTTTGTTAGAAGTTTCTGTGGAGCTGAAACCCAACCGCCATTTGACTGGGTTTCCGTTTAGTTTAGTTGGGCTCTCAGAGCCTCCTGTTTGTTGTTTTGTGTTTCAAATGAAAAGCAAGTTTACCCTCAGAGTTATGCTTTTCCAAAGAGGCTAGTGTGCTTTTTTTTTTTAATTGTTTCAGGTTCTAAGTGAAGTGAGTTGGGGAGGGGTTGGGAGTGGTAGTAACCAAGGTTTAGAACATGATGAGAGAGTTACCTCTGGTCTCCAATCCCCAGCACAGAGCTGGGGGTTGGATAGGGGGCAGGGAGAGAGGATTTCTATTCACCTTTAATATATTTTTACAAAAAAGCAAACAATTTAAAAACAAGCCCACCGCTTCTGTACATGTCTAAATATATTTTTAGAAGTGGGTAGGATTATGAATTTCTGATGCAGGGCCTTTTTATAAACAGGTTAGAATAGGGTCATACAGACTTCTCTGTTGTTTTTTTCCCCTGTTTTTTTCTTAAGTTGTGTTACTAATGTAATTTATATTTTTTTTAGATCTTCCCTTTCCTATAGAGATAAAAGTGATTTATCTTGGCAATTGCTTTGCTTGGTATTCTTTTTTTTTGTTGATGGGGTGGGGATGGGGGTAGGGGGGTGGGGTGATGGGGTCCAGGAGTGCCGCCTTCTCTTTACATTCTCTCTCTCCCTCCCTCCCTGCCATCAACTCAGCCCTTCCCTGGTGCCCAGCCTCACACCTGAGGTGGGGAGGGGACAGGATCCCTGCCCTCACGAGAGACACAGTTCACACACCAGAAACAAATAATCAGAAGTACAATGAGCACAAAATGAAGGGTGCAACAATTCAAAGGGGCCTGACAAGTTTGTTGGGAAGGCTTTCCATAGTTTCCATGGGCTGTTTTTAGTGGCTACGCCTATGTCCTCTTTCTGCAAATGTGGAGTTTGGGTTTTTTTTTCTTCTTCCCTCTCTGTCTGATATGTTCCTCCAGGCTGAACTTGATTACTATGCTTAGGGCTGGTGCAAGGGATAGAACATAATTATTAGAGCTAACACATCATGCGCATTTCCTTGTGCCAGGCACAGCTCTTAGTGTTCTATGTATATTGATTCATTTCATCCTCACCAGCATCCTCATCCTACTGATGAGAAAACAGATGTAAAGAAAACTTCCAGCGCCACACATCATAAGTTGTGGGGCCAGGCTGCTTCCGGAGTCTATATTCTTTTTTTTTTTTTTTTTATAATTTTTTATTTATTTATTTATTTTTCCCCCAAAGCCCCAGTAGATAGGTGTATGTCATAGCTGCACATCCTTCTAGTCGTTGTATGTGGGACACGGCCTCAGCATGGCCGGAGAAGCGGTACGTTGGTGCGCGCCCGGGATCCGAACCCAGGCCGCCAGCAGCGGAGCACGTGCACTTAACCGCTAAGCCACGGGGCCGGCCCCGGAGTCTATAATCTTATCACTCTGTTCTGCCACCTCTCACTGATAACCGCTACCATTTATTAAGTGCCTTTTCTGTGCAGGCATTGGGCTAGGGGTTTTACTTAGGATATCTCATTTAATCTTCACTGACAATCCTGGGAGATAATTATTAGCCTTATTTTACAGTGAAAGAGACTGAAGCTTGCCAGTGGTCTTCCACAACAGGATCTGCCTGACTCCAAAACTCATGTTCTTTCCCCTTACCATGTTAGAAAATGTTTTGCAGCTCAATGACCCAACAGATTTTTATTTAGCATCAGTTGTGTGCAAGATGTAGCATTGAGAGTTGTATCCTGAGGAGAGCCCCTGGGGTGATGTCAGGAGCCTCAGTTCCAAATTCACCACCACCCTGACTCTTTGTGTGACCCGGAGCAGGCTGCTTACTGTCTTAGGATCACTGTAAAAGGAATTTGAAGCCAATCAGGATTTCTTCATCCTGGAGATTCTGCTTCTGTGAGTCTGGGGTGAGTCTGGGTTTGTCACTTACTGGCTAAATGACCTTCTCCAGTTGTCCCAATCTGAATCTTGGTATTAGGCAGGATTTGGAAAGAGAAGGTTCTTGTCTGGGGTATGGGGAACTGTCTCCTGGTAAAAAGGCAATAGGAAAGAGGGGAGGGATTTCAGAGCCCTTTCAGGAATGGTGGGCTGGGTTCTCTTTGTCGCCAACTCCCACCCCACCCTCCCCACTGAGAGGCCAAAGCACTGTCACTAGCCTCAGGTTAGAGGATAAGCTAGAGTCTTGGTCACCTTACTCCTCAACTAGGCAGGAGGTACCAGCAGATCAGAGGCTCCTGTCTAAAAATTGGAAGAAGAACAAGGGCACCCAACTTTAGTCTTCCCTCTTTCCAATATGGAGTGGAAAAGTGTACAGGACTTGTCGGTAAGAGCCTGGCTTCTCATGACTAACCAAGTAATCTGGGGGAGATTGCTTGTCTGGGTCTCAGTTTCTACATTTTCCAGATGGAACTGTCTCAAATATGAAGCTCTCTAGAAGCATGGTCACCCCTAAACTTTCTGGATGCTGTTGATTCCCAAACTGAATCCTCTAGCCCTGACCTGTCCTGAGTACAGATCCCCATTTCTGCTTGCTTGTGTTGTGTTCCCTGCCTCGAGTACACAGGCTCCTCCCTTTCCATCAGGACCCTGTTCATGCCAAGTTGACTGAAATGGGATTTGTCCTCCAATAAGCTGAGTGGAGGAGAAGAACACCATATGGTACAGTGTGGTGATAGAGGTGAGCACAGGATGCTGGTCAGGGAATCTGTCCCAGGGAAGCAGGGAATTCGGGTAAGGCTTTCTGCCAGGGGTGATGCCTGAGGCAAAGGATGAAAAGTAATTTAGCCAGTCAGGCAGAGAACAGTGGAAAAAGTATTCCAAGCCAAGGCAATAGCATGAATAAAAACAGAAGTGGGGGGAAAAAAACCCATGTGCATATAGAGAGCAAGCAATTTAGTATAACTGCAGCTGTGACATTCACCTGGGGGTGTATATGCAGAATCTCCAAGAGGGAATGTATAGTTTGAGAAGGCATATGCTCAAAATTGATTCGTTTTTAGGCATAATGTTTATTTTAAAACTTCAGATAATGGAGGTTATGTAATTTTGATGTTTGTCAAAAGCTTTAACTGTATCCCATGAATGACAGAACCATCAAAAGGTTTTAAGCAGAAAACGGCATGATCCAACTTGCTTTTAAAAAAGATCTCTTTGCCAGTCATAGTCAGGAGTGGATTAGGAGGGAAAGAGATGAAGTCAGGGAGACCAGTGAGGAAGTTACTGAAGGAGGGATGGGGAAGGCACCATCTCATCTTCTAATGCCCCATTGAATTCCACTTCCATAAAGAAGCCTTTACCCAACTCTCCAGTCAATTCTGAACTTATTCTGGACTTCTGCATCTCATAAAGGGCGGAAATCCCAGGCCATTTCCAGGAGGCAGAACCATGGAGTCAGCCACTCATACAACCCAAGAGACACAAGTTGCACTCCTCCATCCCCTTTCATCTTTTTAATTCTCAAAATAGCTCACCTTTCCAGGCCCTCTCCTTACCCGTAGGACCACAACATAATGCCAGCACTCACCAATGAATGTGGTAAGAGAAATACAATACCCATTTTATATTTTCCTTGTCAGGAGTCCAACAAGCATCCCTCACATTCCATACCATTCCATTCTATCATACAGTGTTTCAGGGTTATCTTTCAAAAGTCCTATTTTCATCATCTCCTCCTGCTTATGAACATCCATGGCTTCCCACTGCTTTTTACACCTTCTGGGTTTCAAGGCCTTCCAGAACCTAGCCCAATCTGGAGACAGTGGGCTGTGGTGGAAAGAGGATGTGCCTGGGAATTAAGACCAATGATTCAATTCCAGCTCTGCCACCTATATGATCTTGAGCTGACTACTTCATATTTCCTTGACTCGGTTTCATCATCTGTAAAATGAAGATATAATCCCTACCTCATAGGGTTATTGGGAGGAATTATAGTGGCTATAATATATAGTGGCTATATAGTTTAAAGAACTTAATTCAGTGTCTGGCAGTCAAGTGATCAGTGAATCTAGTTTAATTTTTCCCAGTTAAAAATTGCCCAACAAGGCCTATTATCTTATAAAGACTAGAGAGAAAATATGCCTTTAAAGGAAGTGGAGAGAATATTTTAAACTGGAACAGGAAATCAAGTTGGCTTCATGAGGAAACTGTTTAAAGGACATAGAGAGATGGTTGAGACAACAGATGTGGTGAGCCTTATACTCCTGTAGAGGAGATATAGCTACATCTATGATACAAAGTTGCCGGAAGGTGCCAGAGAATCATCCATGCCAGTTCAATATTATTGGTTCAGTTCTACAATGATTTATCAAAGTCTCTGTTGTGTCAGGCCCTGTGCGTGCCATTGAAGGGCTTGATACTCAAGGACCATGTGGTTAGTATGCAGACATGAAAACCCAAGTACAGCACACTGGGATAAATACTATGTTACAAATAAGTACCAGGTGCTATGGGAGCGTGAAGGAAGGAGACTGAACCCAGTCTGAGGAGCAGGAAAGACTTATAGGAAGAAGCAACACCTGAGTTGAATATTGAACGGCATTCGCCCGGCAAGGGAAGGCAGAAGGATGAGCTGGAATAGAGCATTCCAAGCAAAAGGAACAGCATAAGCAAAAGTAGAAAGTCAAGGCAGCCTGGTGTGTGGGTGGAACTACAAGCCTTTGAGTTGGGTTGGTGTACAGGCTAGAGTAAGATGGCAAGTTGGGGGATGAAGCTTAAGAGGTTGGGAGGAACCCTATCAGAGAGGTCCAATTTATGTTTCAAAATGTTTTCTCTGGTGATCCTTGGAGTGGGGAGAGACAGAAGTGGGTTAGTGTGGAGGCCAGCATGAAGGTGGTTGCAAGATTTCAGTTAAGATGCAATGAGGTATAAACCAGGGCAGTGGCTGTAAAGATACCAGAGATGTAAACCCCCACCCCCTTTTTTTGCCCTGACATTTTACTATGAAGATTTTCAAATTTTCGTAAAGTCAAAGTAATTGTACCGTGAACACTCATATATCCACCATCTAGATTCTACAATTAACGTCCACTTGCTTTGTCACACATACCTATTCAAACCTCTATACATTCATCTACCCATCTTATTTTTTATGCATTTCAAAATTAGACATCTGTACACATCCCCTTAGACACTTCTGCATGCATGCCATTAACTAGAGTTCAATATATGTTTGTGATTATTTCTTTAGCTAAATTATACATACAATGAAATGCACATATCTTAAGAGTATAATTTCATGTGTTTTGATAAATCTATATACCTGTGTAACCAACATCCCTGTCAAGATACAGAACATTACCATCGACCCAGAAAGTTCCCATGTGTCCCTTCCCAGTCAATCACAGCACTTACCCTTTCAGAGAAGGCTTTGAGTTTGAAGGGGTAGGATTTGGAATGTGTGAAAATAGAAAGATGATCCAGGTAAATAAAGAGAGCCTAGGTGGCTCCCTCTCTAGCAGTCCAGAAGGTGTATAATCATGGGGGATACACAAGCATTAGTAAATGAACTTGGATAGATGTCTGTCAGCCTCCCTCCTCT